AAAAACATTAAGACCATGAAAGAAAAATGTTTACTTGCTTGTGGAACTACCAAAAAATTAAATTACTCAAACTTGAAGGTTTTGTATTTTCAGGAAAAGAATTCTTACAGCTATAACAAGAGCTGTAGTAGAGATATAATTCTACATCTTATCTCTTAGATGAAAGGTAGCAAGTTGTCCAAGCCTTCATCTAATCCTATTCCAAAAATGAAAAACTGATAATATTTGGAAAAAACAAAACTGCTTTTACTAATTATCAGAATAACACACAACAGTGATTTCTTTGCTCTTGTCTTCTTAAGTGACAAGTGATTTTTGCTAAGTCAAGAGATGACGATATCTTATAAAGAGTGGAAGCTTGGGTAAAATAAACATTCCAGAACCATTCTCACCTTAATGATAGTCACATCCATGCCAGATAAATGCAAAATCGGGGCAGCATTTTTTTCAAATAGAGTCCTGGCTTTGCTGTAGACAAAAGAAAAAGTGAAAATATTTTAATACAAGTTCTCAAGAGGAAGAATAAAAAGCTCAAACATCTTCTTTAGTGTAGAGTAAGAAAGACCATGGAACATGGGTTTCCTTTATTTGTTCAATTACAGAAAGTTTAACAAGGAGTAATGAGCTATCACAAACAGCAACATAGAACCTTTCACCCTGGGGCCTCCAGGAGTTTGCCCCTTATCTAATATAATAAGTTCTTATCCATTTGGGAGACTACAGTTCATATTCTATTTCCTCTAGAGGAAGAATGGACACTAGACGAGACTCCATTCAGGCACCAATGCTCGATTTACTCAACAAGAATTTATTGAGCACCTACCAATCTGTGACAGACACAGGTGGAGGAGCTGGGGACACAACATGACAAAGCGGACAAAACCACTTGTCCTCATGGAACTTACTTATATTCTAGTGGAAGGAGTGAATTTATTGCAACATTATTCATCTGACCCAAGGGAATAAATTGAACAAAACAGAAAATTGCTTAATTCTCACCCAATGAACACAACCTTTTGGAGTGAGATACATCATTATTAATAATTTCAAATACTAGAGGTATCTCCATTTCTTGAATGTTAAACCTATAGTGAAATCCCTGGAGACAGAGCAAAAATCCTTTCCAAGAAGCCAGAATTTCTGCTAGAAAAGAGAAAAGTTTGAAATTACCTAATATAACTACAGGATAATTAATCAGGAGCTTGTCCAAAACTCCCAGGCATGGTCATGCCCTTCTCTGTGGTCCCTCAACACTTTTTATACACCTGTTAGCAACTTTCACATTGTATGATGATTAGAGATTGCCAAGACTGTCTTCAGAACTAGACTAGAAGTTTTGCAAAAACAGACGCCAAATCTTATTAATCCTTGAATCCCCTGTCCTCTAGGATTATGTACAGCACACTTAGGTACTAAGTATCTGACGAATTAATGCATAAATGAATAAATAAACCTGCCCCAAATACAGACATGTAAATTCTGAGGAAAATGAAATGGCATGATTATGATGCTTTCTAAGAGAAATAAACAACCCTTAGAAGAGTTTGTGTATTTCAAAAGTATCATGAACATCATTAGAAAGTAAATGCTTGTCCAATTCAGATCAGAATTTAAAAACACTACCTAGGAATTAAGGGATGCAAAAGTTACAAAAAGTCCCTTCTCCCAATGGCAGTCTCAAAGTCAAATAAATGTTGAAACATACCTATTAGTTGACCTGTCTCTTGCCCAAATATTTTCAACTATTACATAAAGAAAAAATATATAATCCTAGTACTTTCAAGCAATCAGTGTCAAACCTCTAACTTTCATATCCACATTTACTCAATCCTCTTTCTAAAAAAGATTTTTTAACCAACGATGCATCCTTTGACTTCAAGGATATTTTATACTAGAAAGAAATACAAAGGTAGCTAATGAAAAGCACGTATAGTTATGCACAGACTAAATTCAATATCCATTAAACTAAAAAGAAATAACTACCAAATGGCATAC